TAAGTTAGAATGAGTCCACAGTTGAAAGAAGTGCTAAGGAAGTGTCCTGCGACTTATCACGATTCGTAATAAGAACATACTGATATGCCGATATGCTAATTATTAGGCCACATCTGGCGTCGTAGCTCCAGAAAAAAAAATCTGTATAGAATTAATGACTTGTTATATATGTAGAATAATAATGACAGTAGTGACGATCAATCGTGTAAATATAAAAATAAAGTTAATCTTATTTTAGTGAATATTTAAATTGTTAATATTGGAGCGTTTTATTTTCTAACTTTTATAATTGTATTCCTAATAAGAAAAATAATTATCAAATCACCTGACATGATTTACTAAAAGTGAAGTACGAATTGGTCCTCTTGTAAAGCTTTGGATTTTGGAGCTGGCAAGCTGGGTTCGAAATCGTGAGATACTACAAACTATTTCTTGATTTTAAGCTGTGGGTGCGTTATAAGAGTGCTCTTCATTCTCTTAGCTTGAATGGTGGGTGGTAACGTGGCGTCAGATAACCCAAGTAGTTTTGTCATAAATATAAGATTTGTGAGCCTGGTGAATTTATAAACCTTTACTAAGTTTATCTTTATTATAGATTTAAAAACAGAAAACTAAGATCAAGAACAAAGAAATTAAATTATAAGATGCAGAAAATTAAAAGAATATCAAGGAAAAAGCTAAAGAAATTGACAGAAAAATAAAATAAGATGAAGAAGAAAAGGGGAAAAATTCAATAGATAAATCACGCGAAGGAGACATGAGATGTATAGAAGAATTACAAACAAAAATAAATTTGATGGAGGAAAAACTTGCAGAAATATTAGAAACAGCAAACACGAAAAAGTACAAAAGGAGATCATTGAAGTAAAATGGAAGTACAAAAACGTAACAAAATAATAAATAAATGAATATGAAACAACGTCTACACCGAGGTAAAATATCTGGAAATATCAAACCACCCACACCTCTTACTGTACCTGCTCAAACATTTCACTCTCAAACACAATATATTATGCAATATGGAATAGGAGAATCCATCTGTTCTACCTCTGTTACCACTACTGTTGTTTCAACTTAATTGACTGCTGATCCTTCCTGTACTACTCCAAATACACTATTACCTTACTAAATCACAGAATTTAGTATGTTAGTTTAACAACGTAGCTCATTCGAGAAAACAACAAGCTATGGTGGAAAGTTAGCAGGTTATGCATATCAGGTACAGTTTGAAATAGCTTCTAAAATGAATGAATGGAGTAGTTAATGGAAATATATTAATCTTGATGCACATTTTAAAAGAGAAATTTTCACAACAATGTGCAACCTTCTAATTGAAAAACTGT